AGCAAATAGTATCCTATTTGCCATCAACATCTTGGAGAATCCATGGGTATTAAGCAGAAAACAAAGAATATCGCTATTATAATATGCCCTTCATTCAAGTACATATGTACATACACCAAAACAAGACAAACCCCTTTTAGGGGGATTATTTGTGGTAGAAATAATTACTGTATATTTATTGCTGCTGGAGCAGTGGCTCAACAGGGAAATAGGGCAGAGCTGTTGGGGAGCCAATGGGCATTAAGCAATTTACAAAGGTCTCAGTTTGTTCTACCTGGAGAGAGGGGTATATATTTTAAAATATCACATTTAATTAACACTTGAGGAGAAGAAAGAAATGGCTCACACCAGTAATCCTAGGCAGCCTTTGTGTGGAACAGATGAAGGAGAAAATAATCTGATTAGGTGCTGGCCTTAAGTACAGTTTCTGCAGATTCCTGTTCTCCTCTTTACCATATAATAACATGGCTTAAAATTAGTTCTGACAGCTAATCAGAGTGAGTGGCCTTTTCTTTTCCTGGAGTGGTTAACAAGTACTGTGCATTGTGCCAACAAACTATACTGTGGCATAGAGGTGGGTATGGAAGAGGGCTGATTTGTTCTTTCATGACAGGAAGCTCTATGGCTCCTTTGTTAGAATCAGAGCCTTCTGCAGTACAAGAGTCTGCTCTGTGACCCAAGGCAGTCTGGAGTTGTCAGAACCCTCAGCACTGCATAGGACAGCTCTTCCTTCTCCACTGGCTCTTACATTCCACCTCATTCTCCTCTACTGTCTGTCACTCAATTACTTCTGTCTCTGATGGCTCCCTGGCAATTTGGGCTATAGGAAATGATGGGCTGTTCAGTGATAGAGAGGGAGGAAAAAAAGTAACCAATTGCCTTTTAAAGCAAGGGCTTGGGAGCCAAGAGGGTATCTGAGCCTGAACACAGACACCTGTGTTTAACTGGGTCAGGCAGAGATGGGGCAAGGTCAACCAGGAAGTCTCTCTTTCCCCAAGGGGTGTCTATCTTTATGTAGATCTGAAGATAGATGTTTGCTTCCCCAACTTCTAATTCTCCTTCCTGGTTTGGGACTCAGGAGAAAACCCAGTGCTCAAGGGGAAGTGCCAGTCTACAATAGAGAACTATCAGACTACCCATACCGTACAAAGCTGCCCAAGCTGTACAAAGGGGTACAAAAATTTCCCCTCAATTTAAAAGATAATAGCAACATCAAAGGTGGCTCTTAGAGGAGATATCTGGGCCCAACATAATCCACAAGATCCCAAGTCTATGCCAGAGCTGGGTCATACTCAGAGTCCCAGGCATCTGTGGGAGTAGTTCCTGATTCCTCCCCTCTAAGAAAAGGAGCAGGGGAAAGGTTCTGGGCTTAAGATTCAAACAAGGCAAGCTCAGGCCTGAAATGTAGACAGATCTCCTAAGCCAAGAGTAGGTAGGTCAAAGTGAAGAAACTTAAGGACACAGTCAGGCCCTAAAAGGTTCTTGGCTGGCTCACAGACTAGCTCTTTTTAAAGTCATTTTTGATGGAAAACAGGAACACTTGAGGTCAGTCAGTTTGAAGCTTTAGTGTGCCGCTTAATACAAGTGCCCTGCCTTCTCAAGGTTGGCTGGTACCGTATCCATGCAAAAAGAGAAAGGAAGAAAGAAAGAAAGAAAGAAAGAAAGAAAGAAAGAA